TCTTCCTTCTCTTTCTCCTCCTATATTTTTATTTTATACTGATAATTTTAATTTTATATTTGTAAATCAATGTATTCTTTGTATTTTTATATTTAATGGTAATTTATTATGTACTATTGTATTTCAATGTATTTTATCATGTTGTAAGCCGCCCCGAGGTTTCGGCAAGGGGCGGCATAGAAATGTTATAATAATAATAATAATAATAATAATAATAATAATAATAATAATAATATTCCTTGACCACAAATCCTAAGTCAAAATTGGTAATACAGACCAGGAATGGGAAATGGTTAATAACTTCACAGTGTTGTTCAGTGTATGCCCATTCTTCAGGCTATAGAGATACCTACATTTTACCCCAAGGAGGCCAGCATCTCCAGTATGTTGGGGATGTATCAAACAACATCTGAAGGTCCACATGTTTCCTATCCTTGCTCTACTAACATAACTGCACCAGGTTCTCTCTCTGATCTCCATGTAGGAACTCAAAGTGGAAGTCAGCAAGCTTCAAGACCACCTGGGTCAGACCTGTCAACATCTAGATATGTAAGTCTTGTCAGAAATAGCTGGGTCCTTTTTGAGTAGTTCTTAGATTGGCAGGGAAAATAAGTCGTCCTATATCTAGTGGTGTCTTGCCAGTGAAAGTTTCCCAATCTTTGTCACAATTATCCATACAAATTACCATCATTTTTTGAATTAAGGATTCATTCTTTCAGGACATGAAAATGTAAAATATAAAATATATGTCAGAATAAACATACAGTGATTGAACTCTATATCTCAGTATCTATATCTACAGTCTTCATTCCTATAATGAGCTGTTGTAAATAAATTTCCTGCTTATGGCCGGTTTGAATTATATATGAATACAGACACTGAAAAAGTGCCCCCAAGTTATTACTACATTCTTGAGCTTTACAAATATTGTAAGACATTATTCAAGAAATGTTCTCATTTGAGTTTCTTTATTGTGGCCACAGAATTCATCTTTTAAAGAATGTGGGATTTTTGCTATTATTTTTTAGTTTAATTGATTTGAATGTGTTGATTTTAAATTGTGCCAACTACCCCTGAGCTTTAGCAATAGTTTAGGATACACATGTATATAAACACATGAATAAAACTATTATTCATAATAATTAAGGTAGTGCATTGCTTTTTTATTAATGCAATAATTCAGCTCTCATAAAACTGTTAACATTGAGGGCCTTCTGGAGGCAAATAATCAGTAACAGTTAAACCTGAATTTTTGCTTTTTGTTAAAGGGAAAAGTTCACAACTGCCTTATCTGTCCATGAACAAATGAAGCTGCCCTTATTATTTCATTTTGTGCTATTAAAAATGATGTGCCAAGGGCAATGACTCACAAAGCAGTTGAGCAGGACTTGGAGTTAGGAATGGGGGAGAAACTCATTTGGTTTGCATTTTAGTCCAATCTTACCTAATTTGCACATCTTGAACCAAAATGTAACCTAAAGCACATGTAGGCTCTTTTCTAAATTTTGGGATGTAGCACTCCAATAAAATACATATATACACAAAAATGGCACACAAAATGTGAATATTATGGAGAATAACATAAGAATCAGGAAGAATTGCTTGCAAAACATAAATGCGAGGCAAAAAGAATACAAAAAATCATATATTAGGATTTTTTTTCAGGCTGGAATTATTTTAAAATTTGCAAAAGTGATGTGAACTTATTCAACTTAGACTAGAAGAATGAGAATCTGAAGGGGACTGAAACTCACAGAGCATATCACTCCAAGCTTCATAAGGAAGTACTTCTGTTCCAGTTAGCTGTACTTGGGAGTGCTCGAGTCAAGCGGTAGAACAGATGCAGTTTAACTTGCTATCTCCAAAGAAATTAGTTTCATGTGTGCACATCATGCCTTGTGACCCAGTTCTGTGTATTTGGCATTAAGAAACTGAAATAATTCTTTCTGACTTTAGAGGGACACACTAGGGTGAGATCTGGAGATAGGAACAGAGATAATTTAGTCTTGCACTTTAGTGAGAAAGGAACAAATCTGGATGGAAGTGTCCTTTAGGGTATAAACCTATTGGGATGCCATTAAGGTCTTTGAACATGGAGGCTTATGAACATCCAATGAGGAGCAGAAGGATCTTGGCTTCCTCATATTCCTGCCCTGTACTTTGTTAGACAGGTTTTTTTTTTTTTTTGCAATTTTACCTGGAGAATCTGAGAAGGGGAGGGATGAAAGGAAGCTGAAGCAGCTTCAGCATACCTTGGATCTGGTTTCTCCATTCTCCTTTCCCTTTAACTCCTCTTTGAGGTTGCTTTTCCATGCAAGAAGAGAATTCAGCACAATAATTTCTGCACCAGTTGCAGGGGAATGGGAGTGGAGCTCTGAGGGCTGTCTCCACCCACAGAGCTTGGAATCTGAACTGTCTTGTGGTCCCTTGTACAATATCTAAGGCCTATAGGATGACTCTCTTAGTTAATTAAAATTAGAACTGGAGAAGAAACTTTGAGGGTGATCTAATCTAGTCTTCTTTCCTAATAAGGTTACCATGGACAAAAATCACTCCAAAGAAACAGTCACATAATCTCTCTTTAAAAGAAAAAAATCATGCTTGACAAATCCGACATGTAAATTTGTTGTCCAATAATCCTCCAAGTCTAATCCCAGGTTTTGCCATCCTCTGCAGCCTATGGGTATAACCCCTATCTCCCGCTGGAACAGGAAATACACACGTTTCCAGCATTTTCCTTCATGTATTGGTGATCCTGCCCAGTAATTTGATGTTCTTTCCCCAGGTCTTTGTTGCAAGAGATTGGCTTTACCATGGAGAATAGGTGCATACCATGAAATGTGTAACTCATATTTCATAAGATGTATAGATTCTACAAGATGCAACAGCTATCAGTCTGGATGGCTTTTAAAGGGAACTGGATGAATACATGAAGGATAAGACTATCAATGGCTGCTTGTCTTGGTGACTATAGGCTACCTCCAGTATTTGAGGCAGTCTGCCTATGTGCACTAGTTGCTAGGGAACATTGGTAGAAAGGTGCTGTTACACTCATGTCTTACTTATGGGATTCCTGTGTGTAGCTGGTTGGCTCCTGTGTGAACTAGATGGACTTGGTGTGATCCAGCATAGCTTTTCTTATGCTTTGCTGAACTTAGAAGACCCATAAAAAGTGTAGGAACAAACTGGTCATTCTAGAGGAAATCCATGATTCTTCCAGGGGAGATTTTATCGCCCTGCATATGGAATCTGCACATGGCTTAGTGTGTTGTGTGGAACTCCCTACTTCCTGAGAGGTGGTTTATAAACCATCCCAACTAGCCTTGGCTTGTAGTGGAGTTCAGGAAGTACCCTGTGGTTTTGTGTGCCCTCTGAGCCTGGACACTGTGCTAAGCCATGGTCAAGCCAAAAGGCTAGAGAGTCTCTTGGCCAGAGCAGAAAAAAGGGTTGCCACTGAAGGGTCTAGATGATGACAAATGGAGAAGTGCCCAAGAAGCACTTTATATCCAGTGAGCAGCTCACTTAGCAGACGGGAGTGCTTTTTCACTGCTCAGTTGTGGGACTGCTTAGCCAAGCAGCAAGAGGGCTTGTGCTCCCTTATCTGGGCTCTCCATCCCATGTTCCTGCTCATGCCTGGTAAGCAAAGATTCTCACTTTCAGTAGCTGGCATCCTGCACTCTTCAGTAGTCCAGTGTGGTGTTTTCAAGGATACCAGCTCCATACACTTGGACTGAGTGGGGAAGAGGGGGTGGGGCAGTGCTACGCTGAGCTTAAAGTATTGTCCAGATTTACCCACTGCAGTGATAAATCCATGACCAACCCATGCTGAAATTTCCATCAGGTGCTGTAGGGAGAGAAAAATAATCAATCTGAATTTGTCTATACTGTAGCTTAAGTGAAACGTGCCTAGTTTTGATTTGGGGACCACAACACTTTTTTTACAACCTCCCCAGTATATTCTGCTATCATGCAGATTTTAAATAGTTCTACATAACAGATAGTATGTCTGCATACAGGAATATTTTAAAAAGCAGTGTGAGGTGCACATCTTTTTCTTCCAGCTTAATGAATGTTGTGATGACTGTTTCTTAATGCAGGCTACCAAGAGATTCCCTACAAAGTGTAAAGGCTTGTTTAAAGGCTTCTGCACAGCCACTCTGTTCAGAGATTCAAGAATCACGGAATGTAAGAAATATTGCTTCTTGAAGTGTTGTATCATTAATTTGACCATAAAAGGGAAGCAGGCCTGTGCTCACCTCAGATAGCACAGAGGTCTGGGAAGCTGCTGGCAGCACAGGGTTATACATTTGTGTCAGCTGAACATAAATTTGGGCAATGCTTTTGTATGAATGCAACTCAGTGACCCCTAGCTAACAAGCACATTTTTGAAAAATCTAGAAATTTCAGAAAGGGCAGAACAGTGTAGGAAAGGGGATCAATAGTGCTCTATTTTCAATTTTGTTTCAAAGCTGAATGGTTATCGCATTGCTGTGGTAATACACAGTAAGGACACCGTTTTAAAATAGAATTTGTGACTCATTACTAGTAATGTTTGGGACCAGCCTTTGATACTTTTACAGATATACTTTATGTAATGCTTGCAGTAGATGCATATGTGCTACTGTGGTAAGAATAGCATTTTCATAGGAACACAATATTGCAATTTAAGTGTTAAAGAAAAGCAATATTTTACATGAAATGCTACTTTGAGGGGAGACATCCAAAGTCTGTACAATACTCATTGAGCTATTAAGTGAGATGCTCTTGCTATGTTCAGCAGGGGTTCAGTGAAGAGGCTGACCTGCCTAGTCCTTTGTGTGGGGTATTGCCAACTTTGAAGACAAATCCAGTGACTGCAAGGGACACCAAAACTTTGACAGAAGAACTGGTAAGTGTAGAAATTGCAAATGGGAAGGAATATACTATAACTTTCTTTCATTCCTGGGAATATTTCATCTGAATTCAAGCTGTCAATATGAACTTTACTAAATTTATTGTGCACTTACCTTTCCTTACATTTGTTCATGGGTTATTTAGACTCCACCATCACCCTCTAGTTTACTCCAGTTTTTAAACAGCACTTTCTGCATTTAATTTTTTTAGAGCAGGAAAGACATGTGATTTGTGAAAGCAGAAGAATGCTTTCTCCACTTGCATAACTGCACTGTTCCGCTATTGTGTCAACAGTTGCTTTCTTCTGAACTTCATTTTTCAGTCATCTCAAGATATACGACATTTCTAAGGTGGCTCTGTGATACAGCTACCCTTCTCTTTTTCTCTCCAGGTATTAGACATATCAGGGACAGAAGATATCAAAGCACTGCTGCAGAGAGCACATAGTTCGTCTTACCTGGATTTTGTAACAGATGTTCCACTAATGAAGAATCAGGAATGCAACCAACCGCTACATTTTCCATCAGAAAAGGTGGTAAGGTAGGAACAATGAAGAACTTGAGTGCTTGTGAGGTACTTGCACATTCTATATACCTTTTATTCTGCCCTGCTCAGTTAACACAAAAATGAGTTTTGTGACAGATTAAGAATTAACAAACTTATTGTTAAATAACCTTTCATAAAACAAAAAAGAATACAAGTCTTTAAGGAGCTGCGTTATTTTGTTCTGTGTTTGCTGCACAAAAATACTGCTCTGAATTTCGGTAAGTTTGATTTGTGACTGAAGCATGGCATAAAGCATTTAGGGGACAAAACTTTACAGTTGAAATAAAATTTCCCTTGGCAAAGTTTTCAATAAACAATTGGGTCATATGAGTGTAAATCATTCTACCTCCTGTGAAAACAAACTTTTTCTTTCAATCCAGAATGGTAAAAACAAAAAAGGACAGCCAAGCAGGTGAACAGATTAGTGACAACAAAATGATTGGGGTGACTCCAAACAAGAAGATGTGCACCTGTTCATCTAATATGGACACTCAGGTAATTTTTCTCCCTAGATAAGAGAAATAATACCATTGTACAGTTATTTTTATCTTTTATTTTTCCCATATTTATACCCCCATTAGCCAAAGCTGCCCGGGTGGTCGCAACAATTTAAAAATATAAACTATAGTGTTGTTGTTTAAACTATAGTATAAAAACTATAGCATAGTTTAAACTATTGTTGTTTAATGCAGGCTGGCTTACAAGGATATATTACTCTAGTCCTCTCCCAGCTGCATTGGCTGCCAGGTAAAGTCCAGGCCTGATTCAAAGTGCCACTTCTAACACTCAAAGCCCTAAAGTGCTTGGGGCCAGTTATCTGAAGAATCACTTTGTTCCATATGTACCTACCTAGATCCTCTGGTCCTCTTTGCGGGGACCCAAAGAACTCTGTAAGGGCTCCTTCCAAAGGAAGTGAGGCAACTGGCTACCAAAATGATGGCCTTTTTAGTCATGGCACTCCATTTGTGGAATGAGTTTTCCAAAGAGGTGCACTTGGCACCTACTTCGTATTTTTTTCAGTGCCAGGTAAAGACCTTTTTATTCTCCCAGCATTTAATTGGTTTAATTTTTAAACTTCATTTGTAATATTTTATTATGCAGCTTTGTTAAGTTGATTTTATCTTGTATGTGTTTTGTGTGCATGCTTTAACTTTTTCTTAACTTTCGTTAACCACCCAGAGAGCCTTGAGTGTTGGGCAGTATAACAATAAATTAAAAAATGCAGGAAGGTGTTGAAAAAAGCAAGTGAGTTCTTGTATCTTGAAGAACCATGTTACCGTGACATAACCCAGTATATAGGGAAAAAAGAAGTCAGAAGCAGGAATATGGAAGAGTGAATGAAACCATATTTAAAGTGCGGTTAAGTCAGCAAGACATATCAAGTTGACTGAAGCAATGCCATCATTTTTAATCTTATTTAGCATATTTATAATAATAGGGATATAGGCCTTTTTCCCTCCAAAGAACTCAAAGCAGCTTAGATAATTCTCCTCTCAATCTCATTCTCATAACAACCCTGTGAGGTAGGGTTGGGCTGAGAGTCTGTGACAGGCCCAAAGTCACCCAGTTGTCTCCATGGCTGAGTGAGGACTAGAACCCAGGTTGCCTGAGTCCTAGTCCCGCATTCTTAACCACTACATTGCACAGTCTCTCTACTGGATTAAGCTTTTCTTCCTACTCCTATAATAATTATGAATGAGCCTAAGAACGTATATGAATATTTGTGCCATATTTGTTTTAAAAAAACTTGCTGCAGTAGTGGGAGCAATGCCCTCAATCATAAAGTGAAAAGGAAGCCCTTTGACAGTAGGAAAAATTGAAGTCTATTTGGTTTTCACTAGTGTGCAGAAACTATGCAGTATGTGCTCAATTACAGAGCAGTCATTGGCAAAGCTAACAGGAACATGATTAAGGACACTTAGTATATCGCATACTAACAAGGTATTAGTCATTCAGTATCTCAGAAAGGAGGTGACATTTTGAATATTTCCAATAATGAAAGTTTGAGATGGAGTAACATTAGAAAGTGACTAGAGATACCTATAAAAGATTGCCATTGTGGTCTGTATCACACATCTTGTGAATTTCCTTGGACCACAGTTTGGAGTAGTGGCACCAGGTGATGACATCACAAGCCCCGACTCATTAGCCGCCACTCATCTGAGCTTTCGCATGGCTGGTCAGTGCGCTGCCAAGGATTTGCTTGGACTGGCTGTGAGGTGTTTTTTCTAAACTAAAACCTCAGTTTTCAGGTTTTATTGCATTTAGAATAGGCAGAAATGATGAGCTATGCAAAAAAAGCTGCACAAGGAAGACTTTTTCAAAAATGCCCTCTTTTCAAAGGTATTTTGGCCCTATATTAGGGTTAGGGGTGTGCACCAGGGTAGGGTTAGGGTTAGAAGAACGAGGTGCTCTGGCATGATTTTGATGGTTGGAATGTGTTTAGAATGGGAAGAAATGATGAGCTGTGCAGAAAAAGCTACTCAAGGAAGGCCTTTTCAAAATCGCCCTCTTTTCAATGGTAATTTAGCTCTATATTAGGGTTAGGGGTGTGCACCTGGGTAGGGTTAGGGTTACAAAAACGAGGTGTCCTGGCATGATTTTGATGGTTGGAATGTGATTAGAATGGGCAGAAATGATCAGCAGTACAGAAAAAGTTTCAAGGAAGTCTTTTTCAAAATCACCCTCTTTTCAATGGCTTCAGTGTTGTCATTTTGGCTTCCAGGGAAAGTTCAGAACTTTTAATCATTATAATATATGCAGACTGCTAAATTGAGGTATTGAAGCTAGGGTTACTAATCTATACCAAGCAAGCTTTCAACATTTCAGTGCTACCTGTACTTCCATTTTTTTCAGTTTTTCTAAAATTAGTCTTGTGCACGTTTTCCATAAACTAGATTTGCTCTGATATACTTTGGGTTGAGTCCAGTTATAGTCATACTTAGACATTAAAATTAATGGGATGTAGGCTAGTAATTACTAACTTAAGTTCCACTTATTTTTGTTGGTCCAATCCAAAATGACTACATCTGGATCCAGCCCTTTATCACAAAAAGCTGTCATCTCAGGTTGCTTTTGAGTCTTAATCTAGTTCTCATGTCACAATAACACACTAGTTGCATATCACATGGGCTGTCAGAGTAGAGATCAGATGTGCTAGAGGCAGCATTTGTTACTGCTGTTTCATTTAACAACTTCTGTTTCCCTTGTTTGTAGGTTGCATTGTGTACCTGAACACTAGTGCTGGATTCACACAAAATGATAAGCCAGACTATAGGTTCAATATGTAGTGTTGTTGTGGATGGTCACATTGTGTGATCCCAGGTGTATTAACACACCATGGTTTGTTAATCATACAGTGGACAGATAGTTTGTTGTTGGATTGTTCATAGTTAACGAACTATAGTTTGTTAGCACACATGAGTTCACACCACCCTCAGTTCAAACTGTATTCCAGCTTGTCATTTTGTGTGAACCAGATTGCTGGGTTGTTTAGGGTTTAAACAGTCCAAAGTTAACTTATGATTCGTTGTTAAGATTTCAAAATAAAAACCTATGAATTAGGTGCTTGTAGGTTGTTAATTCTCCTTCATGGATCACTGCCTTGTTGTGGCGAAGGGGCTTGCGTAGCTCAGTGAAGCTATGAGCTATGCCGTGCAGGGTCACCCAAGATGGGCAGGTCATAGCAGAGAGCTCTGACAAAACGTGATCCACTGGAGAAGGAAATGGCAACCCACTCCAGTATCTTTGCCATGAAAACCCCACAGACAGTACCAAAAGGCAAAAAGATATGACGCCGGAAGATGAGCCCCTCCGGTCGGAAGGTGTCCAATATGCTACTAGTACTAGCCCTCTGCTCTTCCCCAGTAGCATATTGGAC